AGAATCAGCTGCGCATAGTCCTCCACGTCCGAGGCCTTGGCTTTGTAGTCCAACTGCCGATCCAGTTTGAAGCTTGCGATCCGAAAAGCCGCGCTGGGGTGCTTGTTCTGAGCAAAGACCTGAGCGTGTAGCTTATCCAGACCCCTGCAAAGAAGGCTGGGATCGGGTAGTACAACCTGAAGCTCCTTTCCCCTCCGCAGAAGACGAATCCACTTCCTGATAGACGCCACCGCTGCATCCACTGTGTTCCCGGCATCGGGCGAGGTGAGGAAGTGCAACAAGTAAGCCTTCTCAGCAGAGCCACCCGGCTGGAAAGAGCAGTGCACAAGGAACACCATGGCCTCGACCGTCACCGCCCGCACTGAAACCGCCTCAGCCTTGAGATCCTCCGGAAGGCTGTCTAGCAACAGCATCGAGGCACGCTGCTCCACTCTCTGGTACTTGTCCACCGCCGGCCTCTGCGCCAGCACCTGCGTTCGAATCTGGAGTCTGTCCACCGGGGTCGACTCCAGCCATCTCTGGACACTTCCTCCTCCACCCACCGAAGATCCCGTAGCAGCAGGCAGAGGTGTAGGCGGAGGTGGCGGCACCGGAGTCCCACCCGGAGTGGCATTGTTTCCAGCCGCCGGCCTCCGAACCGGCGTGACAGGTGACCTTGGACGAGGCGGCGGTGGTGGTGGGGGCACAGTACCCAGTTCTGGATTCCCAAACGCCATCTGCTGACCTCCCCCTGGAACTCCCGCGTTAATCCCGTAGAGCCCTGCATCGTGAATCACCATTTGACCTTGCACGAGGTAGTACGGGGCCCAGCTCCCATTGACGCACACAAAGCCAGTAGCTGGAACACCCGCTGTCCCTTTTGAGGCCTGCGTCGCCTCACCGCCATCACGTTCTCCACCGTGACCATTGGGGACACCATCCGTCGGGATTCCTGGCGGGAGATCCATCAACATTCTTTGACCCTGGAGCCCACTCTGTGAAGACACCTGCTGCATTCCTTGAGAGGACCCCTGAGGCATACTTTGATTAGACACCTGTGGCATACTTGAAGAAGACTCTTGCGGCATACTTGAAGAGGACACCTGCGGCATACTGGAAGAGGACACCGGAGGCATACTTTGAGAGGGCACCTGAGGCATACTTTGAGAAGGCACCTGAGGCATACTTTGAGAAGGCACCTGCGTCAAACCCAGGGAAGGCACCTGCGACATACACATGGAAGGCACCTGCGGCATACTCATGGACGGCACCTGTGGCATACTTAGGGAAGGCACCGGCAACGGCTGAGACGACAAAGGCAACACTGCGTTCCCTTGTCCCAAGCCTTGAGGATATCCCTGCAGCACGATTTGGCCCGAAGGTATAGCCAGAGGACCCAGCAAAGAACCTGGATAACCTCTTCCTTGCAGATTTCTCGCACGCGCTGTTTCACTGCTGTCCGAACTGAAGGTTCCAACAAAGATCCTGTCCATCGTCGCCAGCGGGCGGTCTGCTGTAGGCTCTCCAGCATCCAAATGCATTCGTCCCATCTGCACATCCAGCCTTTCCAGATCCACGTAGCCCAGCCCTGCAGCTTCAGGAGTTCCACCCATGGGCGTCTCCATCGGTCCTTCGGTAGCCGTGGTCCTTCTTTCTCCTGTCCCTGTAGATCCACCTCGGGATTGGTTCTGCTCCACTCTGTCCATACGACCAACCAGAGTGGTAACCAAGTTGGTCATAAAAGCCAGCGATCTCGCCACTTGGCTCACTTCTTCCGACGTCGCTCCGCTGAGCCTGACCTCTCTTCTCGCATGCTGAATGGCCCAGCCTCTGGTACTTCGCTTAGAGCAACAGGCACAGGTCGCTGCCCGCCAGAGGGTGGAACCGCAGGCTCCAGAGACGCCTGAGTCCCACCATGACTTCCGTGGCTTCCGTGCGCCTCACCCTGCTGCCCTAACTCCTCTTCAGCTCCATAGCCAGGTTCACGAACTTCGTCGTCGACCCTGACCTCCATGAGCCGCGAATCCTCCGCCACTGCACCCGACTCCACCGCCGGCAAACCCCCAACATCGCCATCTGTAGTGTGATCCCCATCCACCTCCGGGACACTCGCAAGGGCCGCACCACCAGATTCCAGGGGAGCTCACCAACGGCTTACACCGAGATGCGTTGGGCTCATAACCCCCGAAAGCGGAGGCACTCCTTTTCTTCAACCAAAAAGCCTGCATGTTGCAAGTCATGCTTACATATGCTGAACATCCCTGCACTAACGCAGTACAAATATAACTGTACGGTGCGCGGCGCATGGGCGCCCCTGCAGTTTTATGAGCCTGAAAGCACGAAAGCACTGGTGAACGCGATAGATTATGCATGTAGGCTTCAACGGGGGCTTTGGGGCAAAAATATTAGTTTAGGTTCGGTTGTAAAGTTACTGTTGGCCGCACACTTTGCGGTTGTTTCCGCTGCACTCTTTGCGTTTCGTTCGTGATTGCAAACTCTGACTGCATGGCTGCAGTCTTTCTTTCTCCTGGAGCTGCTCTCCTGATATTTCCTGTTTGGGGTTCCCACCTTGCGGTTATCTCAAGGGTTAGGCGAAGGGGCTGAGAGAATAGGGCAACAAGATGGAGATTTGGGCTTGCATCTGGATTTATGTTTGAAGTTACGGTTTTGGTACTATAGAAGCTGCTTTAGGGTGTCAGAGCTTGAGTTAGGTTTTTTGTTGTGGGCGGGTTTTGAGTTTCGGGTCTGGAAGTTTTGAGCTTGCAAGGGATTTTTAGGGTTTAGGGTTCACGTTTTTAGAGTTTACAGTTGAAGTAGCAAAGTCAAGAAGCAGTAGAACGGCAGAACGATCGTTATCATCTCCCCCCCTCCCCCTCCCCCAATCCCCCTATTGAAACCAGCCTGAGAAGTCTGAAGAAAGTCCGAAGATCCCGGCTGCCCACCGCCAAAGCCTGAAGAGTCCGAAAAAGCAGACCGTCAAAAACTGAAGACTCCGAAAAGCAGAATGTCCGAAAGGCCCAGATGATCCCAGAATATCCGAGGACGTCGAAACCTCAAAACCCTCGCACATACCGAGTCGAAAAGCCCTGAAGTGAGGGAAAACGCAGGGGCATATACGCGCCACGGTCCAACTATACACACACATATATATATATATATATAGAGAGGGAGAGAGTAAGTGAATATTTTTTGTATATTTATGTGTATATATATATATATATGTTATACAAGCAAACCAGCAAGCAAGCAAACAAGCACACACATTATGTGTGTGGGTGTGTGTTGGTGTGTTATACACATGTGTATATATATATATATATGTATATATACATACTGTATGTACGTACATGCATGCTTACCTAAGTGCCTACTTACCTACTTACCCATCATCTACCTTCCTACCTACCCACCTACCGACCGACCTACTTACCTACCTTGTCCAGAATCCTGCTGAGAAGCTCCCTAGCCCTAATGGCTGGAGGCTCTCGGGTTCTTGGAGAACGCAGTGGCCACAGCCCGTGTCTTGGAGGATCGGCTGTTGGAGGCCAGGGCAGCTGTTCGGCGGTGATGTTGACATGCTGGGCATGGGAGGGGCGTACACGTGCACCGTGTGAGTGGGTTGAGCGAGAGAGGGCATCCGAGTGTGTACGCTTGCGCAGCGAGTCCATGACCCTTAAGGGTTCCGTCCAGTCGTTCCGAATAAGAGGAAACGGGCACAGACACAGGCATTGTGACAGAGGCTTGTGTTCGCATGCATCAGTCATGGTGGTTGCCGATTCCCCGCTGATGCCAGATTTGAGCATGGGTTCCAAAGGCTTACGTTCGTGATTAGAACTTGTAGTGTGATGCCATATGTTACATGCCGTTACGGTTGCCGTGCTGTGGAGGACATGTGAAGGGGCAGGACTCAGAAATACTATGCCGAGAAAAGGAAGCAAAGAGTCGACAGCATCATTTTGCGGCGTAGAGCCGTTTAGTCCTCATGCATTTTGCACTTTAGGGTTTAGGGTTTAAGGTTTAGGTTTTGCACCTGCACTACGGCCTAACATCAGGGCCGTTTCCTGAACTTTTGAGCAACTACCTGCTTCTCCTGAGCCCTGGGACCGAACCTCCTTTGGCACCGTGCATGAGAAGGCCGATCTCCTGTGCTTGGTTGCAAAGGCCGGGGGGAAATCCTGCGTTTCAGGCTTGCGCTTTAGTGTGTCGTGCGGCCCGGGTGCTTCGAAATGCGGCCGGAGCAGGGAAGGCGACTTAGTAGTGGCTGTCATTTTGGAGTCTCAAGAATTGGAATAGGATTTGGGATAAATTGTTGGTATAGTCATAGTTCTACTACAAAACCGTAGGGGAAGTGTAGTTGTTCAGGCTTCCGCGTCATGCGACGCTGCCTTCCGGGATTGGGGCTCCTCCTCAGAAGTCTGAGATATTGGTAGCAGCCGAAAGAGAAGGTCCCGATGGATGGGCAAATTCTGGGCTAGGATTGCAAAGTGGAGACAATCGTGGGTTTTAGGCCAAAGGTCGCTGAAAGGCCACCGGATGTGCAACTGATAACTGGGTTCAGGAGAGGTGGTTGCTGCTGGTCAGTTCCCCCGGCATGTACTCCTTTGAGCCTCAAATATTGTGCCGGCCAAAGTCCAGAATCTCAAATCCGAGGCTCTGATACTTGAAAGCCGGAAGACTTTGGAATTTAATTTTCAGGGGCAGATAGAAAGAGGGTTTTAGGGTTTAGGGTTTTAGGAGCATAAGCTGCCGACCCCAAGCCATTCAAGAGCAAAGCACGAAACACCTCGACTTGCAACTCTCCTGGAGTTTGCCAGGCCCGTGCCGCCTGTAATGAGCCTGGGGCAGCAGCGGCCAAGGTGGGACGGTTTAGGGTTTAGGCCCTAAGTATCCGACGGATTAGCTCGTAAGATATCGAGGATTGTGGTACTTAGCCTTGCGCATCTCGCCACGAGTGCGATGTGCAGCCGGGAACCTGGCCGGGCGAGCTCCAATCAAGCCCGTGTAAGAAATGGTCTAGGGCCTAGGACGTTCGAAGAGATCCACGGGTTTGGCTTCTGAATGCACGGCGTAAGCCCCAAAGACGATTTACACTGAAGGATCTACGTTTCAGGGTACTGCAATGGACCCCTCTTAGGGGCTTCCAGCAATGTTTCTTTGGGCCCAACTTGCGCAGCATTGCGAGAACTCTCTCCCTCTTTCCCTGTCTTTGGCTAGTTAATGTCTGTTCATGGGCAGGAAACCAAGGTGCAGTGCCACTGACTAAGCAGAGCGGGATTGACGGAAATTCTCGCATAAACTTAGAACGCGCATTCATGCATCCAGAAGTTGCTGTACTCGAGCTTCTGCCTTCGATGGGGCAAAAACTTGCAAAGATGGTGGCTATCCTTGTTACATTACGTGATGGCCCCTTGCACTAAACTGCAAACTCTTTCAGTGTTTGCTTTGCATCTTTCTGGGGGTCATAGTAGATGTCAAGTCACTGGTTTGTTGTATCAACTCGGTGACTCATTTTATGTTGAGCCCTTGTTTGGCTGAACCCCATGGTAGCCCGTGCTTGCAGAAGCCCCTGTACCCCCTATAGTAACCCTTAATGGTACCCCTTATTGAACTATAGTTAACTAGAGTAACTAGAGTTCCCCTTGTAGTATCCCTTCTAGTATCCCCTTTAGTACCCCTTATAGTACCCCCATAGTACCCCTTATAGTGACCCTTATAGTATCCCCGTTAGTACCCCCATAGTACCCCTCATCTTTGTCATAGTTGGGTAACATTTTACATTTTTAAGGGTACTAAAACCCCAAAAAGGAATATACATTTAAATTTTGAATACTACCCCAACCATGAACTAGTCATCGTAGCTGTGTTGCTGCCAGGAGGCCTTGGCGATATACGAGGCTATGGGCCTTTCACCGCTCCAGCTGCGAGCTCTCGCTCCTCGGGTGTTTTAATGTAGGGGCCTTAATAGACAGAATAGGGTTTGGGAGTTCCTTGAAAATAAGGGTTTAGGGTTTAGGGACCTTCATAGATAGAATAGGGTTTGGGAGTTCCTTTAAAATAAGGGTTTAGGGTTTAGAGGCCTTAATAACTCCGAGCGAAGGAAAGCCTGTTGCAAGAAGGGGCCTTAATAATTGGAAGAGGGTTTGGGGGTATATTGTACTGTAATTAACACCAGGAACCCCCAAAATAGTATTGGTAATTATTTAGGCCCCTCAGACTATACTAGTTACCCTCTTCCCGTACGACTGCTGCTGCTACCATCTCTACTACTCTATACTGTGTGGCTGTATGAAATGCTTTATTTCAGGTGTGGAACAGGATGGCAGTACGTCTTGCGGCGCAGGGTTCTAGACTTGTTTGGGTAGTTGCTGGGGCTGTTCGTCTGCCTTGCCTCCAAACGCTTGAAGCACAGGCAAGAGTCTCATCATGCGCGAAGCGCAAACCAATACCCCGGCCCAAGCCTGAATCATAAGGTGACTTTAGCTATCATCTGTTGTAAGGTCAGGGTTTTCCCATATTTGGACTTTGCGGTTGTATGACCTGCCGAAGGACGCAGAGAGCTTCGAGGTTCGCACAGGTTCGCACGCTGTTCTTTTCGATCGTCTGCGAGTGGGTACAGAATGTATTCGTTGTGTGAGTAGCTACTGTGCTGTAGATTCTAGTCCTGCAAAACTGATTCGGGGTTCCGTCAGAGAGTAATCGCTCCATTAGCCTTAAGACCTCTATACAAGCAGAGAGAGTCGCTGTTGGAGGGCTCCGGACTCGGAAGCTAAACCCCAAATATACTATAATATATTCTAAT